CCCCCCCCCTCCTAAAAAGAAAAACATTCTGTTTGCGTTTAAATGGTTTTATTGACACCGAATTGAAAAGTGACAGAACATTGTCGATAAAGGTGATAGAGGGTCGAAGCGCAGACGGCGTTTCGCTGAAGGTATAAAGATGCGGTTACTGAATTTGTTTCGGTATGAGTATGAGTTACGATCGGTTGATTGTTCTTCGATGTGATTCGATCGATCGATCCGCGTTGCCTCGTCGATCGCTCAACGTTAGATGACGTAGCTTTTGTAGATGTAAGGGGCATTGTAAGGGTAATTAATAAGGGGAATCGACGCCGGGTAGTTGGAGTAGAGAAGGGGTCCGATCGGATTGGGGAGAAGAGCCGGTGCCAACGGAGCCAGTGGAGCGCCGATCAGGGCCGCGCTAGAAGGTGCTGGAGCTGGAGCTGGAGCTGGAGCTGGAGCTGGTGCTGGAGCTGGAGCGGGTGCCGGCGCGGCCAACGCAACGGCCAACAATCCAGCGAACAACAGCTAGTTGAAAAAAGTCCGGTTAGATGAAGATTCTTCCTTCGCTTACCTTCCTCTTTTCCGGTCGCTTCGTCCCCAGGCACTCACCGTTTTGAACATGGTTATCGGTCTTGAAGCGAGTACGTACGTAACACACAACGTAAAAGCGACGGGATGATTATGCTCGTATCCCGAGGAAACGCCGCTTATATAGGGGAAACCGCGACAAAGATTCTCATCTTTCTGCACACCCCTCCTTCCCTTTTGCCCATCTCCCCAATATCTCGCGTTCCTTTTCCCCGCATCTCTGGTATTCCACGAAGGGCAATAGCCGGTCTTCCACGCAGAGACCATGAACGAGACACGCTCGCTTCCTTCTTGTTGGTAGGTGCAATTTTTTCCCACCGGCCGACCAATCCACTTCTCCCTTTGCACCATCTCTGGCAGATGGTTTTCCTCTGTATCGGCCGACTACTCGGCGAATCACCCGTTGCTTCAAGGTTGCACGGGTTGCAATTCTTTCTTTCTTTCTTCCTTTTTTTTTTTTTTTTTTTTTTTTTTTCCCCACCGTCAACCGACCAATCGACTTCTCCCTTTGTATCGCCTCTGCGGATGGTTTTCCGTGTATCGGTCAGCTACCGGCGAATCGCGGGGTTCTTCAAGGTTGCACCAGGATCAGGCGTGTCCCAGCAGAATATGCGTCATTTCCTTCTCTTTCAAGCCCGTGTTCGGGGGAACAACTTTTTCTCCACCGAGCGCAAACAGGTTTCCCTTTTATTCTCCTTTTATTGCTCGCTGTCCTTGCCAGTTCGAAAAACGATTGATGATCCAAAGATCGTTCGATGACTCGCGCTTGAAATTATTATCAATCCGTTCGCGATCGTGATCGTTTGCCACTTTTTCGTGGAGGAAACGCGACTTTGAAAACCATACGGAACAGCGGATTTTCCTGCTCATAAATTACGGATTGGCTCGTAAATATACGTACGAGAAAACGGACGAACGTGTTTTGTACCCTTTCTCGTCGAGACGTACGAGGCGTACAGGCCGATGGGGAGAACCTGGGACCTCACCCGGACTCGACGAACTTGAACTTGGGAAAAAAGCATTCGCTTTACCTTGGAAGCCTTGCGCAGCCTTGTGGTAAACCAGACAGGAAGACAGAGCGAGCGGAACGCAAAGACAGAAGAGGGATGCAAATGACGAGATCCAGCGAGTGAAAGGCACATAGGGAACAATCGATCGATTTCGAAATCCATGTACTAAAACGGAGATCGGGGGAAAAGGAAAAAACGGAAACAATCGCGAACAATCTTGTATCGATTACTCAAATAACGCACGCAAATGTTCATTATAGATTAAATCCATAATCAAGTCAAGTCAAACGATACACGTCGACGATTCGAATAAGGATGAGAAAGTGGCAGACAATTGGAAGTCAAAAACGATGGAAAACCAAATGAAAGCAGATGCAGATAGATCGTGTGGGAAGCAGAACGATCTGCGTAATCACCCGGCCGGCGTTATAACCTTGTTATGCGTTTCCAACCGGACAGGCACGTAGTCGAGAGGGATTATACAATTGTTGGACGTGGTCGCTTACATAATTTCACGATACCGGTGGAAGTGTCCGTCCTATGCTTTCTTTGTCGTTCGATCAAGGTCATCGAAATCGATCGATCCGTTCGTTGCCAGCGACGGCTAGGCGAACGCTTTGAAAATACGATAGAGGATGAGGAACGCGTCGCTGTACGCGTGGGGACGCGCGAGAACGCGCGATGCCGCGCGCCCGGCATTCCAATGCGAGACGCAAGCGAACGAAACTGATCAACCAAAGGTGACTGACGCCGAGGAGGTCGCGTCTTTCGCAAGCCGCGCATCCACTTTTCGTAAGTCCACCACCACAGCTGGTGGACGCTGGTATAAAGTGTGGACACTTGGACGATTCTGCACTCATCGCTCAACAGCCGAATCGAGCAATTCCCAAGCAATTCCCGACAATGATCAAGACAGCGGTGAGTAGCTTAATTCAGTGATCTAGACTACGAATACTGTTAGAGTTCTGGTAAACAGAACTTGAAAGAGTAGAAGTGAGTAGAGGCTGAGGATATTCGTGTAATTTGTATAATATTCTGTAATATCTATTTATTTCTAAAAAGTTTTCGTATAGAATATAATTCCCACAGATCCGTGAACGCATGCGTATGTAATCTAATACATATCTACGTCTTAGTCTGCGTTCTTGCCTTCTTTTCAATTACGCCAAAAGTAAGTTATTCGTCACTTGTATATTCTATATGGATCTTTGCATCTCTGTGTTATACTCTGTAATTTCTATTAGTTTCCAAAAGTTTTCGTATAAAATGTAACTTCTGCAGATCCGTGAACATGCGTGCCTTATCCTTCTTTTCAATTAAAGTCAAAAGTAAATTATTCACCACTATCACAATTGCCTCTGTTTCCAACCACCGGAAGAGAGTGAGAAGTGTGCACTTTTAAATTCTATTCTGTTTGAAACTTTGCAGTGCATCGTCCTTCTTATGGCAGCCGCGGCGTCTGCTGGATTACTCCACGCCGCCCCCTTGGTGGCTGCGCCAGCGGCGGTTGCTGCTCTCCCAACACCGATCGTAACCGCTAGAAGCAGCCAGGTCGTTGCTAGGAACTACAATACATTCGCTGCTGCGCCACTCGCAGCTTATGCCGCCGCCGTACCTGCAGCTGTACCCGCAGCTTTACCAGCAGCCGCGTCGGCACCCATCGCTCTAGCTGCACCGGCTGCACCAGTCGCACCGCTGCCATACGCTGCGCTCACCTACGCTGCTGCTCTATGATTCCATCCTTAATAATTGGACCTGCTCTACCTGATCTACTTAGTTTTAAGCCTCTTGTTTTTATGCAATAAATTGGCAAAAAAAAAAAAAAACCAAATGACTCGTCTCGAATCTCTTTCTCCACTTCGTACGCGCGTGTTTTATCGTCTGACAGAGCAATCGATCGTTGCTTTCGTCTCGAAGGAAGTCGAATGAAATTAGAAGATGTCTATGAATGACAATTCTCGTAACAGTGAGCGATAGATGAATGATAATGGAAGTTATATAGCAAGATGCAAGCTTGTTTACGATCTATTCGCGAACTCTGCAGTCCGTGCAAATCATTTGCATCGTCGTGCCATTGTTCGAAGTCGGGGATAGTACAAAGGATGCTGCGCAGCGTGCATCAGATCGTCGTTAGATAACTAACTAACTCTCTCTGTAAACTACAGTAGCACCATGTATTGTACCATCGAGGAGCATTCATTATGTAATTTAAAAATTTGAAAAAAAAGATGCGTCTCTTTCGTTTTTTTTTTTTTTTTTT